AAGGCAAGCTATATAGGTTTTACTCAGATATAGTTGGTATACTGAAATAAGAAACTTCGGATATAGAGCTATAGATTGTAATGAGATTTATACAACTGATATAGTATACGCTATAGATATAGACAACAAAGCTATATATGTATATAAGTTCGATAGACATATTCTGAAGATATGAGCTGATAGATAACCGGCATCAGTTCTATAGAGATATAGATTATTGAGTTAAGATACAGATGATAGACAGCAGACAGGATCTATAGTTGAGCATTTCTCAAGTTTTTCGATTTATTGAAGTGCTTAATGAAATTGCAAACAATTATTTCAATATGAATTCGATAAGCTATAAATAAATGGATACAAATGTATATAATAATAAATATGTATGCACATATGTATGTAAACTCATATACACATATCATATATTATATATACATTTCAAAATTCCCATGAATGAGGCCAAATAAATTTTTTAAGCGCATCGAAAATATTTTAGTTTTTATTTCCATTTTATTTCAATTTTTTGTTTCGCTACAATTCAAGCTTAATGCTTTTGTGTTTTACGATCCAGCTAAGGTCTCCAATGTAATGGTTGTTGGCCTTACGAGTGCTAGGGATGTGTGCGTGAGTGCGTGAGTCGCGGCTTATCAGCGTCGGGGCACGAGTATTATTAGTCGCCGGCGGAGTTAATATCAATGGCATTTTGTGTTTTCTGTGTTTTCTCTGTTTGCTTTGCACTTCACGACACGCTAATTAATGGCAAAATTGATAATATTATTTAAATTTAGTTTGGGCAGCTGCAACGCAACATCATCGTCATTAGAGGCTGGCTGGCTGGCTCAGGTGTTATCAGCGCATAGCGCACATTGGCAGCGACTATCAAAATCTCAATTAATCAATGGACAAACCATTTTTCTGACTACATTTTTAAATGTTTTTTTTTATGAAATATTTACGTGCGTACAGCACGATCTTCTGATCTCAACAGCAACAGCAGCAGCAGAGGCAGCAGCAGCAGCAGCAACGCCGGCAGCAACAGCGGCTCTGCACCTGTTCACGTTGACCTCCGGCCCACCCCCAGGGGGTCCTCGAGCAAAAGTTTAAATGATAAGATGTGTGTGTGTGTGTGTATGTGTCTCTATCAACTATGGGCGTGGCACTGTTATGATTTCCTCCAAATAACACTAAATTCATATCTTTTTAAGCCAGTGTTGCCACACCCTCGGGAGTCCAAAAAGCTAGATCTAGCTGGAAAGGCGACCATATTCTAGTCAATCATAATTTTGGTAATTATATTTTTTTGTATACTCAAAATTGATACAAAATTCATAAAAAATAAATTATAAAAAAGTTAGCCGCAGTTTTCAAATTCTTACCGCAATCGGACTTTAAAAAAAAGCCAGATATAACGGGAAAAAAAACTGAATTGGCTGATATCAGTGAATTGAACCGTTCAGCCAAAAATTTTACACTGATTGCATTTGAAAATATTAAAAAAAATTTTTTTTTAGTTATTTTTGGTAAGGCCCGATTTATTCACGGCTCGAGTCCACTCTATGCTGTGCCTTGCTCGTAATGGGGTAGATATAGCCCCCATATCTTAGTTATTTTGGGCTGTCCAAGTACATACACATCTATTCAAAATGTTTACTCTTTAAAACTTCAACTACCCTGGTTTCTCAGATACCAAAAGCTGAAAATCTTCATACTTAATAATTCGAGGCTATACACGAGTATATGCTCCAAATTTTAGGTCTATAGGTTCCATGAGGGTCGCAAGGTAAGGAATATATTGCACAAAACCAATGTATATATCAACAAAATCATTTTATTATCGAGAATGGGTACAAAATTTGTTGAAATTATTAGGTATGTATTCGGTCAAATTTAGTCAATCAGGCCCAATAGAATGGAACTAAAATGTCCCCGCCCACCAATGTGATTCAATGTGCTTAGTTTTATATGACATATGGAGCGGCAATCGAACTGATATCATACTAGTTGCGTGCTATAAACTGGAACGGCGTTATCATAAACCAACAACGTAAAAACAATTCATGGGAAATGGCGAAAGAGAGGCGATCTTTGGCATGCTGGACTTGAAATACTCTTGTCGATAAAAATGAGAAGTGATTAATAAAAAATTAAATATGGGTAATACAAAAAAACATACTAAAAATACTATAAACAAAATAATATACTGTTAAGAAACAACTAAAAAATAATACAAAAGATAATAACAATTTTACACAAATATATAATTATAAAATACTTTGTTAAGCTTTATATTTTTATGGAACTCTAGCGTATACAAATCTATGTTTCGCTCCTTATCTGTGAGATAGATATAGCTATATGGGTAACAGAAAAGATAAAAACTGTATGCCAGTTATGTACATATATAATCAGAAGAGATAAAATGTTCTAAGATTATACAGAATCAGCCTTGTCTATAAGTCTACACTAATTCATCCAATACCATGGGAATATAGACATGCATTCGCTATAAAGGGTATTTGAAAATGCTACAACAATTGTATGAGGTTTTTACTGTGATTTTTGCTTGTGCTTATCGCATAGCGGCCCGTGACGCATGGTCGGAATATGTTTGGGTAGTGTTAGATACTCCGGCGTAATTATCTGGCGGAGTGTGTGCGAGAGTTTTCATTGAACGGTTCGATGGAACGAACCCTAGCCTAATGACACTGCAATCTATGGGGTCTATCAATGGCAGTATCGAGCACTAGACTGGACTTCTAGTTAATTAGCATTCGAACCGGTTTGAAGCTATTTACTTTTGTTATTTTTACATTGCTTAACTGGCTATAGCCGAGAACTCTGGAGAGCTTTACGTAAACACTAAATTGCGCATAGTCAGCGTCAAGTGGCATTCTAGGGGGCATCGAGGGCCATAGCGCTGGAGTGCACGGATTACTCGAAAGCAAAGCAAACCAAAGCAATTTCAAAACAAAATCAAAATCAAAGCGAAGCGTTCTACGATTTCGATATCAGAAAATGCAATGCCAGCATTATTGCTATATACATTATTGCCTATATAAATGGCATGACATGTAGGCACATACATACATACATATATGTATAAGAGACATGGCTATCGTACACACACACACACACGGGCACGTCAGCCATTTTATGGGATCCATCGACTTACCTGTGCAGCTTATAGATGAAAAGCACCAAAAATGATATGTAGATAAGCGCCACGAAGACGAGCGGCAGTAGGAATGTTACCATCAGGGGCGTTAGAAAACGATATAGCCATAGCGAATAGTCCAGATCAATGTATGCAGCTGTGGATCGATAAAGCGTATAGATAAGTGTATATCCATATAGGTATATGTACAAATATATACATAGCAACATATAGGCATACATAATATATTGGTATCATACAAATTGGCAATTGATTTTTACGATCAAGTGCTTGGGTTCGCTTTAGTTTTCGAAACGAATTTTACGAAGAAGTGTTTGTTTTCGTTTTTGAAACATTTAGTACAAAATATCAAAAATGAAACAATGTAAATATATATTATAAATGGGATTTGAATTAAACATTTTTTCTTGAATAAAAAT